AGAACAAGTTAAAAATTACTTACACAAGTCAAATGCCTTCTAGTAAACAGGCCCTGATAAAATAAATCCTAAAATACTCAAGGAGCTTACTGAGGAGTTATCTGAGCCATTAGCAATTAACTTAGAAAACTCATGGAAGATGGAAAATATTATAGAGAACTGGAAAAATATTTGCCCTCTTCTAATCTGTAAAATGGGAATAAGGACAACCTGGGGAATAACTTCACCACCTAAAAAGATAATGGAGCAAATAATAAAGCAATCAGGTTGCAGATACCTAGTCAATAATAAGGTGATAATAACAGTCAACATGGATTTGTCAAGAGCACATAATGTCAAACCCTTCTGTTAGTTCACTGTGCGCAAGGACATGGGAGGTAAGAAGGTGCTGTGGAAAGCCTGGAGGTAGCAGTGCTTTAAGGAACCAGGAGGAAGGGCCTGACCAGAGAATGATAGCTGTCATGCAGCTGATACAGGGGACATTACAAACAGCTGCTATCCCAGAGCTTCTGGGCTGGAACCCGGAGGGGAGGGCAGGCCCAAGTTCCCCCCCATTCCTTAACTACCTACTCACCATGGAGAGTTGATCTGGACAGCGTGTCACACCACAGAGAAAGAATTAGTTTGGAAAGAGTCTGACCTGTACCATAACCACTTGAAGGTATAGCAGAGACTATGGTGTTTGCTCTCTTTTTTTTTCCCCAGACTGGACAATGTTGAGGGTGGCTAAATAAACAGCAAGTTGGTAGCCCCGAGTGAAAGTTTCTAAACCAAGAGCTTCCATGAGCTTCTGAGTTGAACAGTCTGCCTGAAAGCAAAGGGCCCATCAACGGAGAGAATAGGGATGTGAAAGGTTAATCGTGTAAGTATCTGGTAATGCATACTAAGTGTCCAGAGCAGACCCTGTCCACGCTGGCCTGGGCACTTGTAGACAGGGGCTGCTCTGGGCATCTAGAGCAACCCCTGTTCCCTTCCCCCTACCCCAATTGGTTAACCGGTTAAACATCATGTTTAACTGGTTAACCAATTAAACAGGATTTTTAATTACTAGTGGAGAAGGAGCTTTGTGTCACAACCTATGAATGTACCGCACCTCTGCTCTGGCTTTGACAGATTTTCAAAAGCACTCAAGAGTTGATTTGACTCTGCTAGTAGTTTTACCATGAACCTCAATGGGAGCAGAGTTAGACCAATGCTGAGTACTTTTGAAAATTCCACCTTCTCTCTTTGTTCCTCATTGAATTCAAAGTGGTGTTGAAGATTTATACAGATTAAAATGGTTTGGGACCTATTTACCTCAAGCTCATTACCTCCTGGTGATTGCTTGGGAGGCTCTGAATCTGAACTCTGCAAGCCAAGTGATTGCTTTCCTCAATCTGGAATTCATTCCACTTGACAGTCTGCCAGAGCTTGAATCTAGTGAGTAGGCTTCAGTGCACAATGAAAGAAAAAATTGTTGTTGAGCTTTGATTTTATTTTTGGCTCGGGTTCTTAGTTTTTGCGTCATTCCCAACAAAATAGCAACCTCTTTACTCACATTTCCATAGGTAATGACAATACTTTAATTCAATTCTTTGTAAGATTTTTAAATGTTTGTGTCTGAAGTAAGAATCTGACTGCTACAACAATAGACAATGCATTACAAATCAATGAAGTACATTAACCAGTTTGTGATACTTACATGACTTGCCCTTCATGGCATGTGAGATGTGAAGTAAAAGAGAATAAATAAGTTTTGAACATAAAGAGCCTGTCACTGTACACAGTGACTGTAATTAGGGATGTAAAAGGTTAACTGATTACCCACCAAGAACTGGGTTATCAGAATGCTTACTGAGTAAACGGTTAACCAGATGTGTCAGTAGGAACATGGCCAGGTCAGGGTGGCAGGTGGGGCCTCATAGTGGGCAGTTGGACCCATGGCTGCTCCACAGTGGCCTGGGGTGGGGAGAGGTAGGATCCCAGCTACAGCTGCCCTGCAGCAGCCTCAGCTGGGGCAGGCAGGATCCCAGCCTAGCCTGTGCTACAGCAGCCCCAGGGCCCTGGCTGCTCTGCAGTGGCCCTGGATCCTGGCCCCAGCTGTGCTGTGCTGCAGCAGCCCCCGCTCCCGGCTGCACCTCAGTGGCCCCAGCAGGGGCAGACTAGATGGTGGTCCTGTGCTCCTGGCTGCACTGCAGTGGCCCTTCCATGCATTTTCATAGCCCCAGTAAGGCCCCTTATCCCCTCCCCCGCCCAACCTGGCTACCCTGCACCTACAGTTAACTGATTAAACAGTATAATTGTAATTGTTTAACCGGTTCTGATCAATATTTACATCCCTAGCTATAATATGTAACAAAATCAAAATGGTAGCATTTTGTGCTTGCTTTGCCATCAGATTTCACAGACAGGAATGATTGCACAAGGTGTAAGGCAATATTGAACCAGACCTCAGTGTTAGAGAATAGAGACTTTATTTTAAAAGGAAATAAAATGCAAAACTTCAATATATTTGAAGAACTTTTGACTAGTACCCTGATCTCCACACAGTTTGCAGTTTTAGGAAAGCTGAGCTTTTCATTTCTAAAAACTTGTGATTAGTTAAAATATATTGCCCAAATGCTGTTAGTTCTATAGTTTTGAGAAAGAGAATGACATAGTCATCTAGAATCAGTGAGAAATTAAAATAACTGGGACTTTTTTGAAGCATTTTTTAAAGTATGATTCAAGAACATTTTTCTTTTAGTCAGATGCTAGTGGACTTAGGATTCCCACTTCATGTTCCCTGCACTCAATACATTTATTTTGCTATCACCATTAAAAACATGAGAATTACGAAGAATGAACGGTCTATCTCTAAATGTAAGGAGAATGCCACATCGATGTCAATAGGACTTCTCACCAAAATTAGTCACATGAGGGAGTTTCAGGAGCAACAATGAAGACAAGAATGTGCAAGGCACCTTATTAGTGGTCTAAGAGATTCCCCTTCCACGGTGACCTATATGTCTCGGTCTTTAGGGTGCTCTGGGAGGGCCTCCATTGGGAATGTGATCTGCCTGGGACAGGGCACTGAAGGGGTCTGAGTCCTGGGGAGAGGAATGTGAACTGTAGCTGTGGTGTCAGCAGGAGCAAGCCTCACCTACTCTTCAGCCCCCTGTACAAACCTCAGTAAACAACACTGGACCTGGGACAGCAGCAGCCCTCTTGGTTTCCTTCATGTCCATGGACAAATGTCACTAGAACTAGTGTTGGATAGGGGTCCCACTCCCACCGTGCTTCCTGCTTTCAGCACAGGGGAGGGGAATAAGCAAGCTGCTTGTTCGGTTTACAACTTTTTCTTTTGGCTCTGCTATGCAGGCCCACTAGATGCTTCACTGAGCTTATTGTAACCCAGCAAGGGGTTCCCCCTGCTGACCTGATCCACCTTGCCTCAGGCTGGTACCTCACCTTCCCACACTGATTCAGCCAGGAGCTCCAGTGTCATGATTAGATAAAGGTTTAAAGTTCCGGAGAGCAGGGCTGCAGTCTTGAACAGCTCATTCAGTGGATGTTCTCAGTTCCCCTGGCATGATACTGTGCAAGGAATATGTTGTGTCTCTGGTCAATGTCCCCTGCTGCTTTATTACTGCACCATGAGCCAGTGCATATCTAGTTATCTACTTGCTCTCCCGTAAAGAGTGTTCCTCATCACTGCTCTGAGGGCTTCCTACTTTACTGTGGCTGGCCCAAGAGCATGGCTGTGTCCTTCTGCTCTGCACTGGCTGCATTTCACATGTGTGCGTGGTCACAGTTCTCCCCTTGCACGATGAAAGGCACACACAGGGAATGCTGGGGCCCCTAGTGGAGAGCCATGGGGAGAGTCTCAGAACTGGCCTTCCATAAAGCTGTCGTTCAAGGACTCTCTGATCAGCACAGCCCCTTGCTGTGCTCTCCTAATGGAACTGGATCCATGAGCACCTGGAGCTCCTTAGAGAAGTACCCTTTGCAATTGATGAACTCTGAGACATGACTTTTGGGGGCCTGGATATGTGTGCTGTTTATGCCCTGTGGTGGGGCACCGAGGCCCCACACTGGACCCCAGAAGGTAAGTGTCCTGTTGGCGCTGCTGGGGCATGCTTACCGGCGGTGCACCAGCTGTTCCCGCGTCGCGGCACGGCTGGGAGAGCACCGGCGTGGCTGCAGAAAGGGGGAGGTGCTGAGCCTGTGGCAGGATGGCGTGGAGGGCAGGGATAGGCTGATGACGTCAGGGCAACGTCCAGCCTGACATCCGAGACAGCGGGAGATTTAAAAGCCGCCCGGACGAAGCAGTGGCAGGGAAGAGGGCCCACGAGAGGGGCGGAAAACGCCAGTGGAGGCAGAGTAGGAAGCAGGTGGTAAGGCTGGAGGCACTGACCTGACTAGGAACGGGAGAAAGAGGGAAGGATGGTGAGGGGGAGAGAGGATGTGGCCCAGGGCAGGGCGGTGAACCAAGCCCATGAGCTAACGTGTTTAGGGTCACGACCCCGTTAGCCGGACTAGGACTGCTGCGTGGTCCAAGTCCTTAGGGCCCTGGGCTGGGGCCCACGAGTGAGGGCGGGCTTGGGTCCACTTCTCTCCCCCCTCCCTGGTGGAAGCAAACCGTAGCGAGACGCGTGTCAAGCGAACTATGCCGCCAACTAAGGAGGAGTTGTTCGGCTGGACTTAAGGAGACAGTGCCAGACTCGGGGCCTCGGGCTCACTCACCCAGGGGGCACCGTCACGTGCCCCCTCACCAACCACAAATGGAAGTCCATGTTGGCAAAGCTGTTGACGATACTGTCCGGGTTGCCCAGAGTGACAATCCTCCATAGCAGCACATGGTTGATGGCCTTGGCTTCTTGCATGAGTACAGCCCTGACTGTGGATGTTCCCACCCCGAATTCCCAACTGAGTAGTAGCTGTCCAGGGTGGCAAGCTTCCACAGCACATAGAATCATAGGGCTGGAAGAGGTCATCGAGTCTAGCCCCCTGCACAAAGCAGGACCAATCCCATCTAAATCAACCTAGCCAGGGCTTTGTCAAGCTGGGACTTAAAAACCTCTAGGGATGGAGATTCCACCACCTCCCTAGGTAACCCATTCCAGTGCTTCTCCACCCTTCTAGTGAAATAGTTTTAACTAATATCCAACCTAGACCTCCCCCACTGTAACTTGAGACCATTTCTCCTTGCTCTGCCATCTGTCACTAATGAGACCAGCCTCCCTCCATCCCCTTTGGAACCTCCCTTTAAGAAGTTGAAGGCTGCTATCAAATCCCCCTTCACTCTTCTCTTCTGCAGACTAAATAAGCCCAAATCTCTTAGGGTATGTCTACACTACCCCGCTAGTTCGAACTAGCGGGGTAATGTATGCATACCGCACTTGCTAATGAAGCCCGGGATTTGAATTTCCCGGGCTT